CTTAAAGGGACTGCACCAGACTTACTCACAGACGGAATCCTTGACTCAGAGCTCCAGCACTGAGGCAGCAGCTGGAGAGGTGACAGGGACATATGCAGGAGGTGGCAGGGGTGGTGGGGAGGGCTGAGTTGTCAGGCTTAAGGGTGAGGGCTGGAGGGGCAGCTTTCTCCTGGACGAAGGAGCTGATGGAAGCCACTGTTTCCTTGTTGAGTCCTTCCCCTTCCCAGCATGCAGATGCAGTTGGCCTCCATATCTGTGTCTCCATCAAGCTGGCTGAAGCCACTGGTTTGCCACACCCTAGTGATTCTGAGACCCCGCCCCACCCAACTTTCAGGCACACCCAAGCCACTTCCAGTGGCTTTTTTGTACAAACCGCCTGCCTTGGCTCAAGCTGCAGACTTTCCTAGGGTCTCTCAAAGGTTCACGGAACCCTGACAAGCAGCATCTGGCTTCATCGTGTCCCGCACCTCTGGCTGAGCAACCCTAAGCCCGGCACTAGTGGCATCTAGTCTTGGTCCAAGGCTTGGCCTTTTGAGGCACTTTCAAGCATGATGTGGGTGGCAGCCATCTGTGGATTGCTTTTGGCTTCTTCCAGGTGGCTCCGAGTGGGGCATGGGCTGCTGCTGAACTTGACCTGCAGCAGGTCCCCTTCCAAGTGGCCCTGGGGCTGGTGCACCCAGTGGCCTGCTTTGAAATGAGCACCCAGCTGCCTCCAAGGGATGAATTGGGCAGGCACTAGAGCCCTGCTGAGGCAGATCCTGTTCAGTAGGGTTAGCCCCTACAATCAAGATTACTCTACCCAGCAAAGCTATCATTTAGAATAGAAGGACAGATAAAGAGCTTCCCAGACAACAGAATGCTAAAGGAGTTCATCAGCACCAAACCACTATTACAATGAATCTTAGAGGGACTTCTTTAAGATGAAAAAAATAAATAAATAAATAAATAAATATATATATATATATATATATATATATATATATATATATATATATATATATATGTAATAAAATGGCAATAACTTCATACTTACCAAAAATTACTTTCAATGTAGATGGATTAAATGCTCCAATCAAAAGATAGGAGGGCTGAATGGAAACAAGACCAAGAAAACAAATTCCTTACTATGCTGCCTAAAACAGAATAACTTCAGATCAAAAGACACACACAGCCTGAAAGTAAAGGGATGGGCAAAGATAGCTCATGAAAATAGAAACAAACAAAAAGCTGGAGTTGCAATACTTACACCAGGCAAAATAGACTTTACAACAAAGGCCATAACAAGAGACAAAGAAGGACCCAGTAATCCCACTTCGAAGAAACCCAAAATGCTACTTCAAGGGGATGTGTTCATCCATATGTTAATTGCAGCATTATTTACAATAGCCAAGGTATGAAGGCAACCTGGGTGTCCCTGAATGGATGAATGGATAAAGAAGAGGTGGTACATATATGCAAATGGCATTTTACTCAGCCATAAAAAAGGATGAAATCTTGCCATCTGCAACAACATGGATGGACCTAGAGGGTATTGTGCTGAGTGGAGTAAGTCAGAATGTGAAAGACAAATGTCATGATTTCACTTATAAGTGGAATCGAAAAAACAAAATAAACAAATGAAACAGAAACAAACTGATAGATACAGAGAACATTTTAATGGTTGCCAGATTAGAGGGGAGTTGGGAGTGGATGAAGAAGGGGAAGGGATTAAGAAGTACAAATTGGTTGTTACACAATATTTAGTCATGGGGATACAGGGTATAGCATAAGCAATATAGTCAATAATATTGTAATAACTATGTGTGGGTCAGATGGGTATTAGATTTATCTGGTTTTAGATGGGAATGGAGGTGGGGACAGGGTGAAAAAAGTGAAGGGATGGAGAAATACAAATTGGGAGTTACAGAATAGTCATGGGGATGTAAAGTAAACCATAGGGAATATAATCAGCAATAAGGTAATAACTGTGTATAATGCCAGGTGAGTACTAGACTAGTCAGGGGGATCACTTCTTAAATCTATAAATGTCTAACCACTATGCTGTATACCTGAAATTAATATAAAATAATATTGACTGTCAACTGTAATTGAAAAATTAAAAAAGGGGGAAGATAAAGAGGGATAAGAAGTTCAAAGTTCCAGGTATAAAACAAATAAGTCATGGGGATGTAATATACAGCACAGAGAATATAGTCAATACTATTGTGATAGTGTGGTACAGTGTCAGATGGTTGCTGGACTCATCATGGTGATCACTTCTTTAGCATAATGAATATAATCAATGATATGGTAATAACTGTTTAGTGGGTATTGTTAAATAACTATGATGTATACCTGAAACTAATATTGTATGTTAGCTATATTTTAATAAAAATCTTCAAAAAAAGGAGGGAGGGAGGGAGGGAGGGAGGGAGAGAGGAAGGAAGGAAGGAAAGAAGGACGGACGGAAGGAAGGAAGGAGGAATTGTGGCATAGGTATGTTCTAAGCATCTTACATGTATTAACTTATTTAATATTCATAGTCATTCTATGGCATATGTACTATTATTATATCTATTTTATAAACAAGCATACTTAGGTCCAGAGCTGTACAATTTAATCTTCCTCAACCTCTGAATGCCATGTATTTTTTTCTTTGCTATATTTTACAAGGTGTGGTATGCAGCCAGTCTAGTGGCCAAGCCAGGCATTCTGGTTCAAGTCTATATCCTTCACATTCAAGCTGTACTGTCATCACCCAATGCAATTACTTACGTGTTTTTATTCTTTATTACAGAGTTCACTAAAAGAACTTTAATAAAAAATTTAAGCTTTTTCTTTTATAGCTTTTACTAAAAACTTCTTAAGTAAAGTTTGAAAATTGTTTTAAAATTGTTTTCTCTTATACATTTGTTCAAAGACCTACAACTTATAGCTAACTCTCCCCAGTTATTGGTAGCTTTTCCTGTAGCACTGTTGAATCCATACAGTAATGATGAGTGTATCCACATTTGATTACTTTCCTCATTTCCCCTCTCCCAAGGTGTCACAGAAATTTTAAACATTGTCAATAATAATTACATTAATAAACAGATGATACTTATAATTATTTTACTTGTCAAAATAAGGGAGTTTAATATGGTTTTGTAAATTGGGTTTGCTATAAGTCATCACGATTTTATGATTTAAGTCTTCCAGTTTTCTATATAGATTAATAGATTATTCCTTGCAATAAATTACATTACAGGTGGTACAAGGTAACTGCATTTAAACTCTAGAAGTAATAATAAAAAGCCTTGTGAAAGGTGATATATTTCTCTCAGTTACTACCTGTGTTCTTTTGTCAAAAATAAATTTTTTGGTCATTTTAACTAATGTATACTTAATGTTTACCAGTACACAAGCACATCCTAGGCATATGATATATAAAGAACAGATGTTAGAGTTGTAAAATAGGATTGAAAAAAGCATACCTCCCCTTGTAAAGCACAGCAAAGGAAAAGAAATCATGGTATAAAGATAATAAAAAAGATCCTTCTTTAGAAGCAAAGAATTCCAAGTATAAATGTGCTTACATACATAGCTTTTATTGTCATAAGCTCATCTACATTACCCCACCATCTAGGGCTTTAACCAAATTTTACATTCATCTGATTCTAAATGAATTTGGTTCCTGACATAATCCTTTCTTGTAATGTAGGTAGAGCTCTGAGGCAATATCAGGGTCAACTACAGGATATAATATAGAACTGTGCCATATTAAATTCTGTGAAATACTTTACAGGATTTTCAACAATATTCCTATCTTTAAGACTACTAAGCATTATTTCTCTAATTTCTATTTTACTTTCTTCATTTTTGACATGGTATTATTGTAACAAGGCAGTACCCCTCTCACAATTTTGGGTAGATTCAGATTCTTAGGCTTGTTGTTTCTTCCTACCCATTTAAAAATTACTTATTGGAAACTATTTTCATGGCTATTTGCCTCTCAATGCTATTGTTCATAATTGAGGCAGATTTTTCCTTGAAGGAATTCACAGCAGCGAAGAGACAGTTTTCTTTCCCAAAGGGTTAATAAACAGGTTTTGTGAGAATTTTCTACTGGAATATTTCTCCTGATTAAATGGTCAAAGACCAAAGTCTCTTGTTCCTGGTGCTAATAGAACTAAACCACCTGCAGCAGAGCAGTGAACACTTGGGAAAGCTACACCAACTTATGGTCTCCTTTTTTGTAATGATTTTGAAATCCTCAGAGGCCTTCTCCATCTAACTAGCACACCCCCAACACACATTCCTCCTTCTCTAACCCCTTGCCCCATCTTTTTCTTTTTTTTTTTTTAGCTGAGCCATCCTGCCACCTGTTAGCAGCTTAGCGGCAGCTCAGCTCGGGCCGTGAATCAAACCGGGGACCTTGTTGCTCAGAGCTCAAACTCTTGAGCGAGCTCTTAACCAACTGAGCCACTCGGCCGGCCCTTTATTTTTCTTTATAGCACTTATCACCAGTGACATTGTTCAGTGTCTTTCTCTCCTAACAGGAATGTTAACTGGCATTGGTAGTGCTTAGTAAATATTTGCTGGAAGACTGGATAGATGCTGGGCTATAAAACAATTTTTCTTTTCCTGAGTACTATTGACCTTAACTTACTATGCGTTTTTTTTCATGGTGTGCACTTAACATTCCCTACTCCCATGTTTTCACTTAATCCAGGTTTTCTCATTAGGCTTCTACTCACTTTAGAAAGATACACTTTGGGCTTTTGAAAATAAAGACTAGACTCTTACTTGTAAAGGATAAGCAAACACAACAAAAATGGTGACATTGTTTTTTTCAAAGAGAAGTGTTAAGTACTGTGTATAAATTGAATTCTATACTTAGCCAGATTTTTTTTTGAAGTTTTTAACATATCTACCTATAAAGATCTATGGAGATTTCAGATCAGATCATGAATGGGTAGGTCTGTATGACTAAAGTGTGTATACTTAGTTACAATTGATTTTCTTTCTTTTCTCTTTTGCAGATTGATGACTAGAGAGAGTGAGATCAGATTTGTTCACAAGGAGATGGGTATAATACCGAGCTGGGGTGGTGCTACCCGGCTGGTTAAAATTATCGGCAGCAGACAAGCTCTCAAAGTGTTAAGCGGGGCCCTCAAACTGGATTCACAAAAAGCCTTAAAGCTAGGAATGGTCGAAGCGGTCTTGGAGTCTTCCAGTGAAACCGAGTGTCTGGAAGAGGCACAAGAGTGGCTAAAGCAGTTTACCGAAGGTCCACCAGAAGTAATCAGAGCTTTGAAAACATGTATTTCTGCAAGCAGAGAGCTTGGTTTAGAGGAGGCATTACAGACTGAAAGAGATCTTTTAGGAACAGTTTGGGGGGGACCTGCAAATTTAGAAGCTATTGCTAGAAAAGGAAAATTTTGTAAGTAGTTTTTAAATTTGATGTACAACTCCAACAATTAATATGTCAAGTTAAATGATATTAGAGTGTCAGAATTCCTTTGAAGGGTACTAGTATTTGGTTGCTTTTTAGTAATTTTTTGAATTCCTAAAATCATTGGCAGTTTTCAGAAACCTCTCCCTTACCTGCGGGGAATCTGTTCCATGACCCCCAGTGGATACCTGAAACCGAGGATAGTACTGAATGCTGTGTATAGTTTTTCCCTTTACTTACATACCTTTTGCTAAAGTTTGATTTATAAATTACATACAGTAAGAGATTAATAATAAAACAATTATAACAATATACTATAGTGCAAGTTATGTGAATGTGGTCTCTCTCAGAATATTTTTTGTACTACACTAAACTTTGCACTTAAAGGAACCACTTTACAGCTTCTCTTTGGCATATCCAAATTGCCAGCATCACTCCTCTTGCGCTTTGGGGCCATTAAGTATAATAAGGATGACTTGAACACAAGCACCGGGGTACTGTGACAGTCTGATAACTGAGCCGGCTAAGTGACTAAGGGAGGAGTTGTGTATACAGTGCAGCTACGGCTAGACAGGAATTCATGTCCCAGGCAGGAGCAGGATAATGTGAGATTTCATTATGCTACTAAGAATGCATGCAATTTAAAAACATGATTTATGGAATTTTCCATTTAATATTGTCAGACTGCAGTTAACTGTAGGTAACTAAAACCTCAGAAAATTAAACCAAAAATAAGGGGGGGGGGACGACTACTATATTTGGGCATTTACTAAGTAAATGTGGAATATTTGGCTAAAATATACAATACTTTTGGCTTAAAAATTACTACCAATTCCCAAATTCCCATACTAGTTTTTAGCCTAATAACCAAAGACCAGTTTTTAAAAAGGAAAAACTTCTACACAAAACCTATTTCTGGGTTTATTTTTCTTGAGTCTTTGTTCTGTCTTACCTGGAAATAATTTACAAAAATAAATAAATAAATAATGAAACTTGCAGTTAAAGAACAAAAGTGGAGATGAGGAAAAGTTACGATCGATCATTTCCTTCTACTCTAAGCAGTGGAGTGAAGATGTCGTGGGGAAATGGCCTTTTTAAAAATAAAGATGCTCCCCACTCTACTCCCCTACAAATTTGGAGCCTTATTTGATATAATAATTAGTTTTCTATTTTAAATTATCAGCTCAGCAATGATAGCCACCATGTGGAAAGTCTATCTACTGACAAAAAAATTAGCCATTCATTTGTGTACCCTGGAATTTCCAAACTAGTAACAATTACTGTTTATGTAGTAAATTAACTTTAGATCGAAGCTGTCTAAGACTTCAAAGGGATGCAGGAAGCATTCTGTAGCATTTGTATTTTACATCAGATTTCTATTTTTTTCTGACAAGTAACTAGCCTTCTTTTACAACTAGCTGTCTTTGAAAAGTAAATGTAAAAAAATGTACAACTCAAACTTTTATTATGATTATCTGAGTAACAGACTATAAAAAACATAAGTCAAAGAATTAAGTTCCAATTCTAACCTATCAAAGAGGTAAAATTTCAAAGCAGTGAATTTTTATTTGCTATTTGTAAAATTCCATTCACATTTGAAAATCATTAAAATAACTTACATATGCTTCATCAATATGATCCTACCATTTTGAGTTAGGAAAATATAGTAAGCCAAAGTCACATTACTTTTTTTCAGAACCAAATTCTGGATGACCAAATTAACCCATCCCTTCCTACCTTGCCAAAGATCTTACCACATTTTGTGTAAAGTGAATCTGTGTCTACTAATACTGTTTATAAATAAGCCTACCATTTAATTTAATTCAGACTAACGTTAGAGAACTAACGAAGACTGGCAAGGAAAATCTTGAATATATAGTCTCTATTATCAGTTCCTTAAGAAATCTGTCTCACAGGTTTTAGGTTTATTTCTGTACATGTTTATTCCATGCACATCTCCTATAGAGTCTTTTTATTCTCTTTATGAAGGAATATTACTTCTCTGAGCAGGTGACTGCTTTAAGCTGAATACCACCAGCTTTTAGTGACCTTTGGCCATAAATAGAATGTTTCCATCCCCTTTCCAGACTCAAACAAGAGACAAATATTTTTGATAAACTCTAGTATTTATTAAATTATAAATTTTGTAATCAAAAAGAAAACTGCGGGTCAAGAGAAACCTCAAACTACAAAAACTAGACAGCAAAGTCTGGGGAACCATGAAGTGTGTTACAGACAAGACTCTGAAACATAAGTTATTACATGTTTTCTTTACATTTCCTTTTAAGTAACTTTACTATTAAATAGTTTTTGTCTATTTA